GTAATGAGCAAAGTATTTAATAAGAATATTTCATTCATTCAGATCTAGGATGTCTTATTTTTGTGTTCCCCTTTTTTTTTGAGCAGTGTATTTGGGGAACATTTAACTATCATCCCCAGATGTTCTCCTAGTGAAAATTTTAATAAAGAATACTTTCACTAAGTTGCCAAAGGACTAAACTAGCATGGTCCAGAGATTACATTATGTACATTACATACATCACATGTAGTCCTCTTGAAATCAGTTTCAACATCTAATTCACAAAACTCTAATTCTGAAAAGTTAATTCAACATCCTAGCCTATCAAAATCAGATCCTATAAATTTCTGTAATGTGAAGACAGTTCTACCTTATCTTTTTTCTATTCAGGTCCTTAACTACTATCGTCTATTATTCAACTATTTCAGAGATTTAACTGGAAGATTTTTTTTATAAAGTTAAAAGATGTACAGAAATGTCAAAGCAATGAAAATAATTGTGATTTCATGTCACTGATCTACTGTACAATCCAAGTGCAGTTTAATCCCTGGAGAATATTTTATTCATCAGAGGTTTCAACCAAAAGTATCAGAGTACTAAATCATATGAGAATACTGTAATAATGATCAGTAGGTGATCAGCCTATATGCCTCAAATTACATCAAATCATTTTTATTACAATCAAAGACTAACAAAAGGAGAGCGAGTACAAGGATTTTTTTTTTAAAAAAAATACAAAATACAAAAATAAAATTACAAAAAAAACCTCGTAAAATATAAAAACGATAAATGGACATAAAAACTTGGTAAACCATATATAATACAAATAATATAATAGATATTGTACAAAACACTATAATCATGATAATTGATGTGTGGCACAGGTGATCTTCTGACATTTGAAGTGCTGCAGGGCAGAACCAGGCACATTGCATATTGTAGCATGGTTGGTATCTGAAAACAGTAGGGAAGTATAGAATTGTCCTGTGGCCTCTAGGTATTGATGCAATATTGTTGAAAAGAGGCTAATAAAAATGTTTCTGCAGTATAGGCACTAAAGAAATACATGTGTGAGGCACCAGAAAAATCAGGCGATCCAGGAAGTTCAAATGAGTATAAAGATTTATTGCAAACCAATAAAAATCTAATAAAACTTGGGGGGAAAAGATTTATTGCAAGTTTAAACTCTCTACAAGAATCTGATCAACTGGCATTCAAATGAAATGCTCAGGAGATAAGACATTCAAGGTGGATTGGGCTTAGATCTCTTGCAGGCACACAGAGTCTCATAATTTATGAAGATTTGACCCCTCCCTCAGCCTGCTCATCTCCAAAAACACGTTCTGTTATTTCCAGGGCATTGTGTCTCTCTGAATAGGGAATCCTCCATTATCAGCCTTCAAAGGCAGTGAGAGGAGGGTATGACACTATGCCATAATAACTGCCCTACAGTGGTTAGGTACTTTAAGATTTGTTAAGTATGTCATAGGAGAGGTAGAGTACCTGCTGGTAATAAAGGTTGGACCTACCTGGCTAGGTCCAATTAGCACTCAGTTTAATGAGAACTTTCACCTGAATATATCCTATGCTGACCTGGAGAGAATTTCATTAACACGGTCCTTGTCAAACTATGGCATGGAGTGGTGCTGTTGTTGCTTCAGGGGTGCACTATTGCAACAAGGTAGATGTTGGTGGAGCTCTTGGTTGAGAGAGTTACAATAGTCTGAAGTTAACCTTGGAGTTAATCTGTGCTGATTTGAGTGCTGATTACTGGTGGAGAGGTGTTGGAGTCTTTGTTTTTTTTTCTTTGAGGCTGGTTGCAGCACTCAGATCAGCATAGATTAAGGTTAATATCAGACCAACAATCAAGTAAGCAATACCCCAATCAAGAAACTTCCAAAGAGCCATTAGTAAACAGCCCAATCAAAGAATCTCTAAGACAGCCCCACTCACACAGACAGGCAAGACACAAGAATGTAAACTGATGGCAAACTGCCCACCTTAGTAGCACTGATGATGTTATCTAGTTAGGGTAATGAAATATTTGCAAGAAAACAAGCTCACAGAGCACCAAAGATCCCTCATTTCAACCCTAGGTTACAAATATTCCCCTTTATTTAATTTAAAGACTGTTTGAGCCAGGCAAAGGCCTGTAAAGTTTGATTTTGGAACCTTTGAGAAGAAATCTGTTGTCTTCACAGTTGGGAGCAAGGCATTTGTGCTTTGCATAAAGGTTGTCATTGGGGCCCAATCAACCCTAACCCCAGCAGCATAGGTTTTTATTTCAGTTCTCAAGACTGAGCTGAGGTTTCTGTCTCACTAGAGGTATTATAAGCATTCATTATAAACAGGACACCATGACTGAATTGGATTAACTAATAGAGAACCTTGGGGTACCCCACTATTTACTTCCCTCCATGTAGATGTAGTTCCATTAAAGACTATATGTTGAAGAATAAATCAATCCTCTCTTCTCTGTGACTCTGTTCTCTGCACATTTTCCACGGTTTCAACATCTTTTTTGTGTCATGGTGACCAGAACTGGATGCAGTATTCCAAGGGTAGTCTCATCAATGTGGTATAAAGTAGTACTATCTTGTGTTCTTGATGCTATCCCTCTATTGATGCAGCCATGACTTCATTGGCTTTTTTGGCAGATGCATCACATTACTGGCTCATATTTAAGTGGTGGTTAATTAGGACACCTTGATCTCTCACAAGTACGCTCACATAGTTACAGATTCATACTGTTATAAACAATATTATTAAAAATATATTTAGATGAATGAAAGAATATCTATATGCCTATCTTCCACCTAATCTTTACACCTTAAAAATTCCAAAAAAGGAATCAAAACATTTAAAATTCTATGCTGGGTGCATTAATCTTGATTTATGTAGTAATTTTTTTGTCTGGGTCCTGTGGCAACTTCCTCTGAAAGAAAACATGTTGGATTAAATGTGGTAAATTGTCCTGCCAAAAACCTCTAAACCTGCTCATACAGATTGAGCAACATTGGCTAACAGAGCTAGATTAAAGGGAGGGTGTCATCCTCTTATTACTACTTTCTGCAATATAATTAGCTGCATCTCCAGGAATAGTGTCTGTTCAGGAATTAATGGATTAATGAGTAAGATTCTTATTTTCTAAAAGTTCACAGCCCTGAGGCGGTAGATGATGAAGCAACACAAATAAACCTAGAGCTCTTTTATTTTGTATTGTTTTAGCTATGATGTTACCAAGTAGAATGTTGGTTGGAATAAAAACAGTTTTAAAGAGAAAGAAATATAATTCTCTTAAATAGCCTGGAGCTAGCCTTAAAAGTAGTAGCCAGTCCTTTATATTTTGCCAGTGGAATACCTTACACATGGATGCCAGCTGGATTCTTTGCATTTTTCCAAAATCCAACCTGGCTGCTGGATTTTGTACCAGCTGAAATTTCTGGGTCAGATGTACAGACAACTACACATAAATAACATCACCGTAATAAAGCCTAAAGGTCAGCAGTCTTTACAGCGTGCTTTTAAGAGACTTTATTCAAGAATGGGGTTGTTTAAGGATGTCAAATGAGCTGATAAAAATTTAAAAAATTAGATTTGGATCCCAAAGTATCCTGTGGAGATGAACAATGGCAGCTACTGTCTTCTCCTGTCCTAGTCTGGAGTTTATGGTATTTTTTAATAACTTCTAGGCATCTGTCATGAGTTAAACTAAGAAAGCACAGCCAGGAGACTTTTGGTTTGCCCCAGTCCATTTTTCCACCATCTAACACCTGTACAGCTGTTGTTTTTCAAAGCTTACTTTGACACTGCCAACTCCTCTCTCCTGCTTTTTTCTTCTTCTCTATTTTCTTTGGCAGGATAATTTAAAACAGGAGATCCAAGCCCCGAGCCATCCTCCGTTACCAGGTCATGGCCTTTTTGGAACTGGGCTGTGTGTGTGGCAGGCTGGTGCACATGCACATGTGTGCAGCTCAACTCACATGAGTGATGTGCTGGCATGCATGTGCATGTATGCATCTCAACTCACGCAAGCGGGACCGGCTCCCCTCTCGCCAGGCCACCAAACTGCAAAGGTTGGAGACCACTGATTTAAAACATCCCTGAAAGAATAAATCATTGGATTACTGTTGCTGTGTACTGGATTTTACAATAGGAATCACTTTCCTATACTGAATTTTACAAACACAACCATTTTGACTCCTTTTCCCAATGGTTCGATGCCCGAGTACAGGGATAATAGATAGAGAAAGGAATTGGTTTCATGTAAAGAGTAAGGAAGATAATCTTGATAATGGTAGGACTGATCTATTACCAAATGACAAGGGGGAAAACATAGTTTAAGCCCAAAACAAGAAGAAGATATACACAAGTAATCCAGGCAGGCACCTTCCTAATTCACATGATGTTGGGGGGGGGGGGGGGGGGGGAGAAGTAACTCATAGTTAGACTTGCATGATTGATGTTAGTCTCACTTTAACAACTTGACCAGAACTTCTACAGAACTAAAACTACTAAGCCAACCTTAATATAATGGCAAACCATCTGGTGCATCTCCCGTCATAGAAAATAACAAACATTAAATATACATTATTGAGAAATAGAATTATTCTTATTTTTATTTGAAATAAGTAAATATTTATTTTACCTTATTTTAGCATGCATAACTTTTCTCTCCTGTTAACACTTCTGTATAAATATGTACTTGTAATAGTACATATTATATAAGTATAGACTTCACTGAAACTTATTTTTGAATAAGTACAATATATATAGTATTCTAAGTTTTCTTATAGGTATGTATGTATCTCTATAAATATGGGAACTACTATATTAAAAGGTGTACCATTTCATTTTAAAAAAAGATCATATTTCATTGAGGTGTTTTTTTCTTCAGGATAGTATCTAATTGTTCTCTTTCCCAGTCACTTGGTTTCCCAAACAGAACTATTGTATTCATATGATGTTTTGCAGCTTGTTCAATTTCTGATTTTATGATCTTTCTTGCTTTTCCCCCCTAGGGACTTTGTGCTCAAACATTCTATGGTCACTTACATTCCTGCAACCATGCCACGTTCAACATGAAGGTAAGCTAAAAACAGTAAATAATTATGGTTTAAATAGAATATACATACATATATACACACACATACATATACACATACAGACAGTGTCTGTATATATATATGTGTGTGTGTGTATATATGTATATATACACATATATATCACAGTGGCTTAGCAGGTTAAAGACGTTGAGCTTGTTAACTGGAAAGCTGATAACTTGGGTACAAGACCCGATGCTGCATTACAGGGTGAGCTCCTGTTAACTTGCCCCAGTTTCTGCCTGCCTAGGAGCTCGAAAGCATACAAATTCAAGTAGATAAATAGGTACCACTTTGTTGGAAAGGTAACAGTGTTCCATGCACCTCGGTGTATGGTCATGCTGACCATATGACGATGGAAAAATCTTGGGACAATTCTGGCTCCGTCAGCTAAGAAACAGAGATGAGCACTGCCCCCTAGAGTCAGATATGACTGAACATGGGAAACCTTTACCTTTACTTTACATACATGCAGACAATCATTTATTCATATATACATATAAAATCTGTATGTCAAGTAATTCTGCTGCTGGATATATAATCTGCTGGAGTTTTTAGCTTCCTGAAATCATTATTTTCCAACAATAATTCCAGAAGACACTATTCTCCCTATTGAATGGAAAAAAATATCTATTCATTTTCTATTTGGTTATTGTGTCATTAATCATGTTCATGTATATACTTTATATACATGAACATACTGTATGTATGTATGTATGTGTGTATGTGTGTGTGTGTATATATATGTATGTATGTATATATACACACACACACACACACATACATATACATATACATACACACACACACACACACACACACTAAAATAGTTTAGAGTTCTTTAGAGGACTTATGTTTCTCATAGGTTCAATTTTAACCAATTACAATGGTGCAATTTGTTGCTGAATTGTCTTATCCCTACTATTTTGATGGAATTGAATTTACATTCCTGGATGATTATCAGGGCAATATTTTTGTTAAACTTTGGGGGAATTTCAGATTCTACTCAACAACTCATTAAATATTTAAAGAAACCCTCCAAAGATGGAATAAGAAAACAAAACATTTCTATGTTTTTTAACAAGAGGGTTATACTGACAGCATGACTTATTTCTGGAAAGGATGCTTTATGCTGACATCACGATATGTCAGTTACTGCAAACAATTTTGGTCACCATACTACAAAAAAGATGTTAAGACTGGGAAAAATTCAGAGAAGAACAAAGATGATCAAAGGCCTGGAGACTAAAACATATGAAAAATGGCTGCAGGATTTGGGGATGGCTCATCTAAAGAAAAGAAGAATTAGGTATGACATGATAGCACTATTCCAATATTTGAAGGGCTGCCACAAAGAAGAGAGGGTCAAATTATTCTCCAAAGTACCAAAGGGCAGAACAAGAAACAATGGATGGAAACTAATCAAAGAGAGAAGCAACCTGGAATTCAGGAGAAACTTCCTAACAGTGAGGACAATTAACCAGTGGAAGAGCTTGCCTCCAGAAATTGTGGACAATCCATCACGGGAAGTTTTTAAAAAGAGACTGGACAGCCACTTATCTGAAATAGTATAGGTTCTCCTGCTTGAGCAGGGGGCTGGACTAGAAGACCTCCGAAGTTCCTTCCAGCTCTATTCTGTTTTTACAGTCTAGCATTGTATTCTCCTGCAGTGTCCTTCATAATGTTAAACAATTAAGCACAAACATTTTTACACTGATAATTTTATAGATTAACATTTATTTTGATTAAGAGTGTTACATCTGGCACAAAACACTATGCTGGAATTGCTGATTGACATCATTTGTAACTTAATTAGAAAAGTTAAAAACTGTCAGTAGAAGGCTGATTAAACAGAACAAGGGGTGCAATTTTAGAAGCTATAATTACAGACCCAGAAATTAATTGTAGTTCTGTAGAACTCAAGCAGCTGAACTGTAGGTGTTCATGCTGAATATGTAACTATCAAACTATTCGAACTGCTTTTCATTCTGAAAACTAGAGTGCTCAGTGTATTCTCATACAAAAATATTCATAGCTATTGGAAAGTAAGTATTTTTTTAAAAGAATTTTTATTTTAGACAAACATACACAGACAAAACATAAAACATAAAACCATCTTCCAGTTACGTACATACAGTGTGTCGGTTGGTTACAAATCTTTTGTGCATTCTCTCCATAGTCCTCACTTAACAGTTTTTATAAATTCTCATATTATCAATCTAGTATATATGTATACATTATTATCATTGCTAATCATTTATTTGACTATAACTTTTTTTCCATCATTTTACACGAGATATTCAAAATTTTAAATTAATTTATATTATAACATTCATTACATCATCTTAAATCCATCCAATAGTAGTACATCTTTATGTTATATTCTGTATAATTCTATTATCCTTATATTGTAAAATTCTCTAACATATTTCATTTCCATATTTTTTGTCTAACCATTGATAAAATAAATTCCCATATCTTATAATATTGTTTATCTTCTTGTTCTCTAATTTCAAATGTCAATTTGCTCATTTCGGCACATTCCATTATTTTCTTAATAACTTCCTCCTGCATTGGTATTTTCTCATTTTTCCAATTTTTAGCAAATACAATTCTAGCCTCTGTTAATACATTTACAATCAAGTATTTCAATTCTCTTCTGTATATTTCTGGTAAAATCCCCAGTAAAAATATCTCTGGTTTAAAGTCTATATGTTTTTCTGTCATTTTTTCCAACCATGTGTGGATTTTAGTCCAGTATCTTTTAGCTTCTGCACACGTCCACCACATGAACCTGATATCTGATGACATTTCCAACATATTTTGAATTTATTCATAAACATTCTTGCTATTCTCGTCGGGGGTAAGCGCCTCCTGTAAAACATCTTATACAAATTTTATTTATATGCTGTTGACATTGTCATTTTGTAATTTTGAGACCACAATTTTTGCCATTTCTCTAAATCAGGGGTCGCCAACCTTTTGGACCTCAGGGACCACCAAACTCATAATTTTAGATCCCAAGGACCACTAACCG